TATTTCGACTTAGCCGCCGTAGGTTACACGAGAATTGGAAGGAATTAGCGACAGACTCGCCGATTTGCCGCACGACAGTATATGAAAGTATATAATAAAGGCTTCGAGCCCTCCAAGAACAGTTTAGTTAGTGCTTAACAAACATTTGTCCCATAATAATTCTCTGTTTCATTATATAATACAAACCATACTTACAATCATCACTATACACTCGCCAAATATAACACGCATCTTCGACTAAGCCTGACTTGTAGGTTACACGACATACCCGTTTGTCAAGCAACTGATTCGCCGTTTCGCTCGTGTCACCGTGAATTGCGTTACTGCGCCACATCGACCATTCCCTGCCACGTGCTTCCGGGATCACGTTTCCACTGCTCAGACTATCGACCTATGGTTACTGTATATTCTTTTAGAAAAATACAACTTCATATATTTGATTTGTTTTCTTGTAAATCAATTTATGCAATTTGCAAAATTATGTGAAATTTGATCATTAAAAAAAAAAATCTCTAATTTCTGATCACTGATTTCCAACATTTTTTTTGACTTTTATATTCGACAAAATTTGCGCATATATTATTTTGTCAAAATTTTATTATTTTTTATATAGAAATAAAAGTTGCATATTCATTATTTTGGAATTAATATATTTGCAGAAATAGAGTTGCACATTAAACTAAATCAAATTTTTACAAATGATAAATGCACAAATTTAGTCTAAAAGTCAAAAAATAAATATTAAAGAATCGAAAATTTTATAATTGTATAATATTACGATTTATTTTGCAGATAATTTTTGATATTCAATTTTGCTTTCGTATATTACTGTGTTACGATTTATTTAGCATTTAATTAATGTTATATATTATCAATATATTATATTATATTGATTTGTGATTCAATTACATATTTTTCAGGCTTTTTGAGTACTTTGAAAAATATTTAATAAGTCAAAAATGGACAAAAGTTATGTAACTAAACTATCTGAAACAAGTTACATAATATTTGGGTTACAAAAGTGGATGTAACATATACATTGAGCAATTACCAAATACAGCAATATGTATACATATACAGATATGTATAATGCAATTTATAAAACAAGAGATTTTACCCGGATAAGAAATGCTACGTATAATCTAGCTATAGTAAATTACCGGTAATTTAATAACATCCAGATAGAAGCATTTTTTTTTAATGGGTATTATCTCTAAAAAAAATGATAAAATCATTGATAAAGTGTATGATAAAATATATGATAAAAGATATGATAAAATATATGATAAAAGATATGATAAAATATATGATAAAAGATATGATAAAATCAATGATAAAATCAATGATAAAGAATATGATAAAATGATAAATCGTGACAAGGGTATTTAACACCGCATTGTAATCTAGAGATAAAAAAAATACCAATTTAAAATTTTGCCTATAAACTTGTGCAGGTAAATTTTACTCACGGTAAAATAAATGATAGAATAAATAAAGGCAATCTAAGAATCAGTTAAATTTATGAAAAAATAGCCAGATAAATTCATAAAAGAAATAAATAAAATATTAAAACCCTTTTGGCAGACTATACGAATATGCCAGACGCTCATTACACTTTTTGTCAATTGGCTTAATTGCCAATTGAGTCAGTGTAAAACTCGGTATTAGTTGGTGATTCAAAACTGTAAGAAGCATCATGAACTAGCAAATTATCTTGTTTTCGATCATCTTGTTTTCGATCATTATAAGGATTATCACCATATAGAATTTGGTTACAAAATATTTGGTTTGAATTTTTCCAGGTATAGTGGTTGCCAACTGAACTTTTATGGATATTAACTAAACTTTGTCGAGTATGGTAGTAGTTGAGGTGAGATGAAGAATGGAAGTTTTGTTGAGCGTGATCGAGATGGTAGAAATCATCAGTCAAAGTTGGTTGAATGTGGGGGTTATTGATGTCAGTGAATTTTTGTGTTAAATAATGGTTGCCATCGTAGATATCGAAGTTGGTCGAATTGGTTTGTACATTGGTTTGCGGCATATTGTTGTGGATATTATTAGGAGAGATTTGTGAGATTTGCTGAGAGTGGTTGTAGTCACTATGACAAAAACTATCAGGATTTTGCTGCATATAGTTGGTTGTCAAGGTTGGTTGCTGAGTAGTGTTATTATCAGTTTCGAGCGGTTTTCGTTGAATAGTATTTCTGATCATCTTTTGCGGATGTTTACGGGAACCTTTGTTTGGGCCACGCTTCTTTCCTTTAATAAATTTACACTGGGTACTGTTCTTTTCACAGAGACTACAGGGATTACCACAGCACTTTTTATGAAGAATACGGCAGTTAGTGCATGCAATTGGAGAATGTTTACGTTTGTTCGACATAATAAAATTTAGAGATTTATTAGAAAGTTATTAGAAAGTCATTAGAAAGTTATTAGAAGGTTTTATGTGTTTATATATGTTTTTTAAACTCTTGAAATGATAATGATGAGATAATCTAGAATTGGATCTCCCCGAAAATATTATGAAATACGTCATAAAATATTCATGACAATAATAGTGTTTAAGTCAATAGGAAAAATTTTTGATATTTACGAATATTAAATAGGAAAATTAGAACATTACAATGAGAACTACATCCATTAAAATTACTAAAAAAAATGATTGGTGAAACGTATCTATATTATGTACGTCAATGTAACATTTTGAGTTACGGTAAACTAACAACGAAAGAAAATCATGATGGTAAAATATATAATTATGATTGGTTTCGACACCTACGTATATACGTATGTATATGCGTACATACTCATACATATGTGCGTACACATGAGTACGTATGTACGTACGTATGACGGAATGATAAATATTATACGTAAAAGCATTACAGTATACCAGGTACGTACATACTAGAGTGGAACTAAGTAAATAAAACTATATTAGCAATATTAGTATGATCAGATTTTTAATCAGTGAAATTAAAATAATTGATTAAATATCATATATATTTAACGCACAAATTCTAAAGAATGCATCTTGACATTGCACTTCTTTTTCTAATTGGTTTTTTTTTAATTGAAAACTTCTGCAGAAGTCATCTCTTTATGCTCGGTTTGCAAAAATTTTATTGAAGTTTCGACTTGTACGTTTAAATTCTAATTTTTTTTTCACTCTAACTTATGAAATTTAAGTCCGTTTATAAGACAAATGTTTGAATTTATATGTCAATAGAAAATTCGAAAGCGTAACTTTATTTTCCAACATTTAATAAGTTACTTGCGAAAAATTTCAATGTAATTCTTTCGTTTTTCAATAAGTTGCGTCATTTTAAAGTAACTAATTTTAATAAATATATATATAGTATATATAAATATTTTAAATTGATTTTCTCTTGTCATAGTTTGCCCCTAGTACGTACACATGCATGTATGCTTGTAAAAGACACATGACAAACAAGATAATTATGTCGACCCTAGGACCCTGTGCATCAAAAGCTTGTTAGTAATGCGTACGTACTAAAAATTTCCATTTGCAAATAATACATTGTATGTACTAATTTGTATACGTACTATTTGTGTGATACATTATAATGTGAAATAACAAAACTAATTATAAAATATTACATTGTTTTCATGCTAATGGTAATGCAATATTAATATCAAGATTAATATCACAGATAATTTACTGCACGTGGGTCAATCTTTAACCTTTAATGTTGATATAGTGTAAAGATTGTTACCCGACAGATCTGATATTTAATAATAATTTTATCTCTTTCGTGTTGTAAGAATAAACTCGAATTAACCTCTTTTGTATTACAAGAACAAACTCGAATTAACCTATTTTGTATTATAAGAACAAACTCTAACTAAAATCCATTTAACAATGACGAGTTGTATAATTAGTAAAATTCGGACTATTCCTCGTGTGCGGGTATTCCCGAGATTGCATATATTTTCATTTACATAAGCGTGCACAAATATGTAACAATATTGGATGAATATTTCGTCATAATATTATCTTGCATAAATGTTTGTGTAATCAGGTGAACAATGACTTGCAAATGATTGACTAACCAGTGACACGTTTCAGTGATATTTTATGATCACATGATTCAATATCGATTCGTGGTTGACAAATAGTGAATATTAATTACATATCTGATTACATATAAGATGGTTTAGAATATTGCAAATTAATTTTGACTGATGACCTAACATTTTTAACGTGAATATAACCAAAAAATTACGATTATACTACTAAGTCATATTAAAAGATGTACGTACATATTGACACCATCGAACCGGCGTCGGCGTTTCGGTCGATTCTCAATCGGATACGTCGTGTAACCTACGAACGGCTTAGTCGATAAGAGGCGGTTAGATTTGGCGAGTGGTGTATTTATGATCGTAGGTTTTATAATATGATTAAACAGGGAAATTAATGGGAGCGAATTTATGATGAGAACTAACTAACTGCACTGTTCTTGGAGGGCTCGAAGCCTTTATTATATACTTTCATTTACATAGTACACGTTATACACTTTATTTGTGATATACTGCTTATAACGTTTATACTCATTATACTGATGATACTGATTATTTTAAGTATACACTTGATCCCACTGATACCCATTATTCACCCGATACGTAGTATACATAGTATACAGTGAATACAGCGTATACTGCCGGGAAACCCATTTAAGGTAGGTGATCAGCATAGCCATCACCGATCACAAGCTTCCGGCACCACCATCCTACTGCTCACAATATATAACTAAAATGAAGCAGAATCTTAATATATAGATAATGCCGGGATATTTATTATTATTATTTTTATCTAACACCAAAAAAAATTACATGCTGTTTTTTGAACAATAATTGCTAAAAAGATAACGAACGTTGATCAAAATTAATTTAGGACATAATGGAGCTATGATACGCTTTTATTAATTATTTTATTCAAAAATTTATTCAATTTTTACAAACCGTTACATAAAATGTATAATTAATTGATTTTTAATTAAAACTATGCTTAAAATTCAAATATTTAATATTTATTAAATTTTACCGCATCTAAATGTCAAATTTTTTTGTGCATTGAGTAATGTAAATATACTTTCATGAACAATGAACAATGGATTATATTTATTTACAATAGCAGTTATTCCGGTTTCAAAGTCTCACATAGTGAACATTAATCAATAACATTACTAAAAAAGTGTATTATTCATGGCAAATGTTTGTTGATCATTGATCAGGATCAGGCTTAACTCACTATTTTATATAAGATAGTTGCGCTAAAACCGGGAACGGATGTTCAGTGGATTGTATTCAAAGTTCTAATAATTTATAATTTATGGATTGTGCCTACTGATCTAACCTTATAAGTTATAGTTATTGTATGTATATGTAGTGAATAACCTAGTTACACTCGGGCTCATATTTAAATCCAGTGCCGAATATGAGCCCGAGTGTAACCAGGTTATTCAATATACCTATATAATAATTATCTTATTGCACTGTGTCTGAAGTACAATCCCGTGCAATAACCACAAGCAAATGAAAAAAGCACACTTGTTATATAATACCCGTATAATAAGCATATGAGGTGAGTCAGTAGAAAAGTGACAAATCATTTTTAGTGAAATTTTTTTAATTTTTAAATTTAAATAACTCAACAACTATTTAATCAAATTTGCTAAA